TTTTCGAAAGAAAGAACAAGGATGCGGTAGTACACAAACTCTTACTGTGGAACCAAAGAGAAGTCGCGGAAGGCGACACCTGACTTACAGTAAACAGCTAGAAGCTGACAGTGGAATGACTCTAAGTCAACTGCCTGCAGCGATGGAGGATAGATAGAAATGGAAGCAGACAGTCATGAGAAGACTCCGAGAGATCTTGACGCAGTGAGTGAGTGAGAGTGCACTGTGCGATCGGTACGGAAAACCCTCCATTGTAGGTGCACCGTACGGACACTGTCTGTGACACGGGTTTCACTCGGTCATAGCAATTTATCGCTTTATAGAAATGATTGACACAAACATGAAGCACCTTAGAATCTCTGAAGTGCCTAATTATTGGGACTAACTAGACCAGAATCCTACCAACTGTCAACAAGGTATTGAAAGACTAACAATAATCGCAGAGCTACCTGCCGAGAATCACACACGTCGTTTACCTGTAGATGCCGAAATTAGGGCGCAGGTTGTCTTCCGTATCAAAATGGCTTAATTGGTAGGTTCTACTTGCTTTGCTTGTTTGGTCCTGAACACTGAAATAACATGAAATACTGCAAATCACTTTAGTTTTCACTGACACGAAAAAAATCCTTTTTAACATACACTTCGCTCCCACAACTGATATGGCCGATGGATCTACGACCTATAGTTTTTTATGATCTATTTTTACATTTCATCTAGGTAAGAATGTAATAAATTCAGTTGCTCCATATTTGCTGCGGTGTCTTCTGCAATATGATATTCAAACTATCGTCGATTCGATATGGAATAGACACAACTTCACGAAAGTTACGTGGCATATTTTTCATGTTGAAGTTTTCTTTGAAGGTTTTATAGATTATTTGTTAGCAGCTGTCATTCGTGTTTCGTAGCCCCTTATATGTACTAATGTCTCTATCAGTCGCAGTATCTCAAGAATTACATAGCCCTCAATTTACATACAGGAGAGCCTGTTGCATGTTCATTCTGGAATTCTAAGCTGTATTCTGTAGACCGAATCAGGTTTTTAGCGGAGTTGCAAAGATGAAGACTTTGCATCGAGGAGTTCTCTGTTTATATCTCATGATCAGTGTTTCTGATATGAGCTGTTGACGACGAAAATGGCCTACTTGATAAAACATTATGTCTGTGTGAAGCTGGTAAATAGGAGACTGGACCTTCTTTTAATCGATATATATGAACCTCCGAACATGTAGAAATCGGTCAGAAGAGCCACGGGATAGCTGTGCCGTTATAATTTACTTATAACGGCACAGGAAATATGTTTCTATAAGAGTAGGTACACATCGAATGCCCGCTGCGTTCGTTATCATTGGAGCGATGCTCTATCAAATGAGTTCCAGTTTTTCCATAATGGCCGCTTGCTATCATGAAATAAACTCATATTTATGCCCTGGTGGGGACAGCAGATGAGATTGCCGGCCGGACAAACCACGTTTTGTATTTGTTGTTCTCAATCTACACGTGGCGTGCCAAATCTGTCATCTTTCAATAAGGTGCAAATCATGGAGACTAGATGGTGTTATATAAGGAGTCATAGAAGTTTTATGTAAGAATAATTGATTCGCTCAACAACCTTACTGTAACTTAGCTGTCGTTCAAAAACCTTGCACTAGCTTAGCTGTCATTCAACAACCTTGCTCTAATTTAGCTGCCATAGGCTAGCGCGCGTATTCCAGTGGTAACCTCGGAATACAGAACGTTAACATCGGCCAAAGGAACGATGGCATTAATAATACATGCATAGGACAGTTGTGTCGTTATAATTATGTTTCTATAAGAGTAGGTACACATCGAATTCCAGCTGCGGTGGTCATCATTGGAACGATGCTCTATCAAATGAGTTCCAGTTTTTCCATAATGGCCGCTTTCAATCATGAAATAAACTCATATTTACACCCCGGGAACAGCAGATGAGATTGCAGGCCTGACAAACCACGTTTTGTATTTGTTGTTCTCAATCTACACGTGGCGTGCCAAATCTGTCATCCTTCAATAAGGTGCAAATCATGGAGACTAGACGGTGTTATATATGAGTCATAGAAGTTTTATGTAAGAATAATTGATTTGTTCAACAACCTTGCTATAACTTAGCTGTCGTTAAAAAACTTTGCTCTAGCTTAGCTGTCGTTCAACAACCTTGCTATAACTTAGCTGTCATTCAAAAAACTTGCTGTAACTTAGCTGTTGTTCAACAACCTTGCTGTAACTTAACTGTCATTCAACGACCTTGCTGTAACTTAGTTGTCGTTCAGCAACATTGCTGTAACTTAGCTGTCGTTCAAAAACTTTGTTCTAGCTTAGCTGTCGTTCAACAACCTTGCTCTATTTAGCTGTTTTTCAGCAACCGTGCTGTACCTTAGCTGCCGTGGGTTAGCGTGCGTAGTCCAGTGGTAAGTCGTGAGTTCGAATAACGGCTGTTTCGCATGCACGTCACTGGAAAGTGTCTTTCTGCATTATGAATGCGATTCTGACCGCCTGCTTTTCTAGTTTTTCTTAACTTTCGAAGCCTGTGCCCAAGAATATCTCTAGCCAGTCTGTATCTGTATCTGTATAGCCGGTATAACCGCCCTACGGCGTAACACACCAGCTTTGCAGGCAGGCGGCGCGGCAGCAGCTGGCTACATCACACCGGACGACGTGTTAACCTAACCCTTTAACATCTAACTCTAGACATTGTTTAAAGCTATCTAATGATAATGCCCCTACTGTACTTGGTGACAGCGAGTTCCACTTTACGATAGGAAAGAATGAATTTTCGAACACCTCAATCCTTGGTTGATAACTCACGTTCTGGTATGCAAAAGCAACAGAACGTTTCCCAATTGAAACATGTCTTAAGGAACCGTTAACATGCATTTTTTACATTCCAATTTTTCAGATTCACTCTTTTGATAATACTTCTACCGTATCTCACTTGGACTCTCAGGAACCAAAAGTCGTAAGTTGTATGTAAAAGTGTCTTTGCAAAAGTAACGCAGTGCGTCTCCAGGTGACCCTCCCCCTACTCCACCCACAAGCCGCTATGAACTAACTTCCCGGAACGTAACGCCTCTCAACAGTACATTCCTGGAAACCTTATCACATAATGATTAGTAACTATTACGTTTAATACATGTTGTTTAAACTGATACATATGACTGATGTATTTTACCTATGCAACCATCAAGAACTTTGTTTTAGTATGTAACCTTAAGAAGTATACGTATTTGCTCGAAAAAGTTCCAGTATAGTAAATTTTAATGATATGTTATATATATTAATGATATAAGTTTAATGGAAGGTGTTAATTTTTATGGTTTTATTGGCTTACGAGTTCATTCCGCATCTCTATGGAAACAGGTATAAGCAGGTTTCCAGGAAGTGAGCTGAAGGATTTGCTCTTTAGGAAGATCTTGGAAGACATTTCATGTCGATAGCGTCTTCCGATCGCTTGGTGTTTGTTTACAAGGTTGCTATGGCGACAGCTAATGTGCGACGTTTTCGCGGTTTATCGTGACGCGTGGTCTGACCGTTGGCATTTTGTGAGCCGGAAAAAACGGTTAATATGACGTATTAAACCGTCAGGAAATGTCAAAATGTCATGACTTCATACATGTACATGCTACTCTTCCAATGATGTGATGTCTTTATCAATCGCCCCAAAATCACTGCATATAACTGTAGTCTCTAACGCGATAACTAAATTGGGAAATGTAGACACCAGTGTATACTTACTCCAGTGCAGGGATAACAACCGTGGCGTAGTGGTAGAGCGTTCGACTGTGAATTCATGAAACGGCGAGACCCGGGTTCGATCCCAAGTTGTACCCGGAACATGTCTGGACATGCGCCCCGACGTTGTGTCCTTGGGAAAGGCACTTTACACAACTTTCCTCACTCCAACCAGGTGTGAATGGGTACCTAACTTCGGTTGGGGAAAGCCGTATTGAGGTCACCTGGTGGCGCCGAATGGCAGCCGCACAGACCTTTGCGACAGTTCCACAAAAATGTGTGGAGCAAATATGTTATATGTATCATGTGATTGTAAACCCTGCATCAATTCAGTGCTATAAAAGGCTGCGATTACACGGGTAACATTTGACCAATAAACCATTTATTATCATTATTATTAAGTATGTTCAAAAAATGTCCGGCACTTTCAGAACAACAAAGAAACCGGCATAGGGCAAGTTATGTCCTTGGTGCTGAAATCCAGGTTAAGTGATAGTCTTGTGTAATACATCATAACTACTCCCATAACTACTATCCAGTATTTGTTTTGCTCCGTCGCCAGCAATGCAGTATTCCATTCATTCATTCGTTCGTTCATTCATTCATTCATTCATTCGTTCATTCACTCCTTTCTCAGATTAAAACTCATCCATGCATCCATTCAGCTATTCATTCATTCCTTTGCCTCTCTCCCTCTTCAGCAATGCGGGAATTCATTCATTGAATCATTCATTCATTCATTCATTCCTTTTGCCTCTCTCCCTCAGCAGCAATGCGGCAATGCCTTCATTCATTCATTCATTCACTCATTCATTCATTCATTCATTCCATTTGCCTCTCTCCCTCTCCAGCAATGCGGCAATTCATCCACCCATTCATTGATTTATTCAGTCAATCAGTCAGTCATTCATTCATCCATTCTTTTTGCTCCTCTCCCTCTGCAACAATGCGGCAATGCTTTCATTCATTCATTCCTTTTGTCTCGCTCCCTCTGCAGCAATGTGGTAATTCCTTCCTTCCTCCCTCCCTTCCTTCCTTCCTTCATTAATTCATTTCTCTCCTGTAGGAATGCGGAAATTACCTCCTTCCTTCCTTCCTTCATTCAAACATTCATTCATTCATTCATTTCTCTTCCTCTTCAGCAATGGGGTAATTCTTTCCTTCCTTCATTGATTGATTGATTGATTGATTGATTGATTGATTGATTGAATAATTGACTAATTAATTAATTAATTTGTCTCCCCCTGCAGCAATGCGGTAACGGCTGGACGTCCATGAAGGGGCGGGTGATCTTCTGGTACTACCTGAACCCGCAGGGCGTGCCTGTCCCAGAGGGCTATCTGCACTTCAAGTTGTACGGGCAGCAGTGCAAGAGGTGTAAGAACGGCCGCTTCGAGATGGCCATGTGGTACCCGGAGGAGGTCGTCAAGGTAAGACGTCCGCGCGGAATGTAGTCCAAGCAGATGTAAGGACGCCGCCAATACGTGCATACACAGTGAGCCTGAAGGTAGCATCATACATCTGCTTGGAGAGTACATGTATGTATGTGTCAGAGAGTAAAGAGACTCTTTTTAACAACCAGGTCTTTCTTTTTCAACCTTCTTTTAACCTTGGAGACGTACAGTGAGTCTCAGTAACAGTACACTCTTCGGCCTGAACCGCTTTTCAAGAGTTCAAGGGGAGTTTCAAGAGTTCAAGAGGTCTTTTATTCAGTCGACGTTTTGGTAACCGTCTGTCACCTTCCTCAGGGCAATTCTGACTGGTTCACATTGCACTGCAGCACAGGTGTCGCTGCTATAGATGCATTCGCATATGTACAATATTTACATATCTACACATATGCGTGGTTACAGGGAACTGTAGCAACAATGCGGTCCCAAACGTACAGAAGCTGTATATATACATAATTGTGGTCATTCATTAACAGACGCGATCACCGAACCTCGGCTGAATAAAAGACTTGGTTGTGTAAAAAGACTTTCTTTACTCAGTGTCTTACCAAACTAATGAAACTATCTACGGAGGTACATATGATGTCAGTTGATAATGCATGGTCAGACAAATCGAGAGGTAGGATTCAATACATAAAACGTCATCACATCGAAGTCTTGGCCGTCTCAGTACTGAGGTAGCGATGTCGGTAAGTCTGTATCACCCCCCGTCCTGGCTGTTGAGTGACGGTTGGCAAACGTATACATCAGGGCTCTTCAACCATCACTGAACAGAAACGAGGGGCGATAGTGCTAGTCTATACCAGACTCCTTTTGCAGGCTGGATAAATAGTAAACACCGGCCTAAAAAGGGGACTGGGTCCATTTGCCTGCACAGAAATGGACCCTCTCTGGCCGGCCAAAGCCTCTGGCCAATTAAATCCCCTTTTTAGGCCGATTTTTACCATCTATTCAGCCTGCAAAAGGAGTCTGGTGGAGACTACGATAGTGCGCTGAGACATCAAACTGTATCAAGATGTGGTACAACGTACTATATTAACGAGGGCGGAAATTTCTCAGAACAGGTTACGTCGTCGGTATCTGTATTGGGACATTCCTATCCTGGTTCCATCCTATTACGAGAGTGAACGTGTCTGAGCCACGTTGCTTCATTCCATGCAGGAAAGGTTTTCTCCTTTCTAATAGAAGTATCATCAGGTCATATCCCTGATATGTAAGATTTTCTCAATTTCAAACGTTGCAGTGTTTTACATATTTTATTACGCTATAAACCTACCTGGGTTCATGATGACATTTGGGGAGTAAAAGATCAACGTCGTTACGCCGCGAAAACGTGTTGGAAACCGCCAACTTCTCGGCGCTAGCGCGGATCGCGGCCATGTTGTTTGTTTACATCTTTTTTAGGAGCCTCCTAAAATATAGCGGGCCTGGCGCAACTTATTCTCACGCTGCGCTGAGTCGCGGGAAAAAAATAGCGACGCTAATATGTTGAAAGTTATTGAAAATGACAATCTAGATGAGAAAATTTCAATTACTTACATTTACAATTTTGGCGCAAAAATCATACATAATATTGCTTTAAACCTGCGGCTGACAGTGTCTATGTAAAAGTATGCTGAACCTATCGAAGTCTGACGTCATGAATTTGGAGCATCGCCATGTTTTGGTAGCTCAGTACTTTCAATTCCCGTTTCTTGCTCCTTGATTGGAATTCATTTGTAACTGGTTGTTGAATGAGCATGTTGGCAGAAAGCAGCGCCGAAAGGTTCTTGTGGTTACGGTGTACAAGGGTCGACATGTGCACAGCACGGGCGCCTCGGATTAGCGGTTTGATACTTAGGCCGCAGCAAGTAAATTCTACGGATCGAAAAGGCGAAAAAACAAGGTGGGCCAAAAAATTTTGACATCATAAACCTTGTTGAACAAGAAATGATAGCTATGTTGAGCTATGTTTACTGCAAACTATTACAACATCCAATTATCATTGAAAAATAAAGTTTTTATCACTATACAAACGATTTTGATTTAGTAAACATGACATATAAAAGGAATGAAATACATCACTGTATCAAAGTAAAAGACCAACAATGAATCAAAGCCTTGTCTTGTCTCCTCTCTTCATATTTATCTGCCATCCACGTTCCGGCATGGCAACGGATCTTTGTCCATTTCCGGAATATTGACCACTGTCAGAGGGCAACAAAATTTCTTGTTTTTTTTCTCCAAAATCAGGCAAAAATTAATGCGCGCACTGATCCATGAAATTACTTGCTGTGGCCTAACGCTAGTGACGGGGTTGCAAAATTCAAACGTTGACCCAGGTGTCACCTTCCTGTTTAACTTAACCGCATGTTGACGTAAGCATTATATTTGGCCAAATCAGTAACTACAGAACCGTCGTTAACTTAACATACACGAGGTTGCACAATATTGTACTGGGGGATGAATATTTGCTAACAAATTATGATATTTTGCATCCCAAAAATGGGTGGCAAGACGCCATGAAAGTTAGCTATCGCGCCTAATTCAGTTTCTATTGAGCAGCCTTTACGTCTTTGATTAGAACAAGCAGCGATAACATCGTAGGCATGACCCTGTACGCAGCCTGGCTTTCGCATCGTATGGTATGCTTATCTTTGGGCCATGGGAGCGCCGTCTAGCGTCAGACGTCTTATCTGCAGGAACACATGCAGGAACATATAAGCAATTCTGACGTTCAGATCTGATAACCTTGAACTCTACGTGTTCACTCCCATCCGATTTATTCTTGAAAGCCCTCCCACCCTTGACCAACTTTAAGGTATCTTCTTGTTTACCGGAAATTCACGCAAGGTTTCTTCTTATTTATTATCGGAAATCGTACAATACTGGCGACCACCTGACACGGCGGCCGCATGTCTTATGCAAAAAGAATGAAGGTGTTCTGAACGCAATATTAAATACTTATTGATTTCTCACTTAAAACACTGATTCAAACTTTCCAGGTATAGTTCCGCACACACAGAGAATACAGAGATGCCGGGCTCAGCAAAAGTGTGACGTAGAACTTCCGTCTATGGACACGAATCCTCCAAATTTAATTTTTTCACGGTTATGAAAATGTAAAGCCTTTTACACTTGTCTTTTGCACTTCTCTTTTATCTTGTTTCTTTTTTTATACACAGTATTTTCTATTCTTAGCTATCTTTTCTTCTTTCGTTTTTTTTCTTTCCGAGTACGTGTCTGTCTTTCCCTCGCTTCTCTTGCCTCTGCGTCTCTTCAGACGTCTTTTCTTGGGTCTGAAGCACGTCCTTAAATTTATTATCGTACAATCCTGCTTCAAGCGAACCATCCATTCATTGTAATGTGTGGAAATAACAGTATGCACACCTACTCGCTGACAACACTCGCACTAGTAGGTACGAAAACAGCCTGTGGTTCTACTGAGGTAGTAAACCTGCCGCTCAAACTTCCGACTTGACCCGATCTAAGGACACTCATAACAAATTGCTATCTGCTGTCACGGCTTGGGTGGGTTCATGTGCAAAACATCACCAGCTCTTATTACCTCCGGAAAAGATTAACATCGTCTTCCGAACTTCTAAGCCCCGGCAATGACGTGATTACATGTCCTAATCTGCTGCCCTTATTTTCGCGACGGGTCAAGCTTCGGATCGGGACCGGGGCGTCTTTTGCTGCTCCTTATGGGGAAGTCTGATGTCTTGACAGGATGCGTAGTTTTCGACCAGGGGCTAAAAAACACATTGAAGAATCCCCGACAATTGAAGCTGTGTTGGGCAAAATCATCTGTCGGGGGAGCTCTTGACGTCACAAGTGCGTCACGCAACCATCTCTGGCTTGCGGAAGTGCGTGAGAGCGAGGGTATGACGTCAACGCGGGGCATCTCTAAGGATTTCTTCGCGGCGAACCGGCAATGGGATCTTGATACCATTTCTTAGGTGATGACAATTATCGACGGTATAAAAGCCGGACCTTTCCGGGACGACAAAACGCTCTTGATCTGCCCTTATTAGGTAATAACCATGGAAACTGAATCAACCGACAGCGCGCCTGCTGACGCAAAAAAAGTCGTCTGACAATTCTGGCGGGAGCGGTCCTGAGCGGAAGAGGGGAAATAACCGTGGCCCCTGGGGGGATCCCGGTCTCCTGTTACACTAAAAACTGCACAACGTCATCTTTAGACGTCAATGTTTTAATCGGAGGAAGGGGGAAACGACCTGAAACGTTGGACCAATGGGGTGAGCTGGAGCCTGAGTCGTTGCCCTTTTATGGTATTCCGACGGGAGTTTCCGCACTTTAGTTTCCGTCCATGTCNCTCGCTTCTCTTGCCTCTGCGTCTCTTCAGACGTCTTTTCTTGGGTCTGAAGCACGTCCTTAAATTTATGATCGTACAATCCTGCTTCAAGCGAACCATCCATTCATTGTAATGTTTGGAAATAACAGTATGCACACCTACTCGTTGACAACACTGGCACTAGTAGGTACGAAAACAGCCTGTGGTTCTACTGAGGTAGTAAACCTGCCGCTCAAACTTCCGACTTGACCCGATCTAAGGACACTCATAACAAATTGCTATCTGCTGTCACGGCTTGGGTGGGTTCATGTGCAAAACATCACCAGCTCTTATTACCTCCGGAAAAGATTAACATCGTCTTCCGAACTTCTAAGCCCCGGCAATGACGTGATTACATGTCCTAATCTGCTGCCCTTATTTTCGCGACGGGTCAAGCTTCGGATCGGGACCGGGGCGTCTTTTGCTGCTCCTTATGGGGAAGTCTGATGTCTTGACAGGATGCGTAGTTTTCGACCAGGGGCTAAAAAACACATTGAAGAATCCCCGACAATTGAAGCTGTGTTGGGCAAAATCATCTGTCGGGGGAGCTCTTGACGTCACAAGTGCGTCACGCAACCATCTCTGGCTTGCGGAAGTGCGTGAGAGCGGAGGGTATGACGTCAACGGCGGGGCATCTCTAAGGATTTCTTCGCGGCGAACCAGCAATGGGATCTTGATACCATTTCTTAGGTGATGACAATTATCGACGGTATAAAGCCGGACCTTTCCGGGACGACAAACGCTCTTGATCTGCCCTTATTAGGTAATAACCATGGAAACTGAATCAACCGACAGCGCGCCTGCTGACGCAAAAAAAGTCGTCTGACAATTCTGGCGGGAGCGGTCCTGAGCGGAAGAGGGGAAATAACCGTGGCCCCTGGGGGGATCCCGTCTCCTGTTACACTAAAAACTGCACAACGTCATCTTTAGACGTCAATGTTTTAATCGGAGGAAGGGGGAAACGACCTGAAACGTTGGACCAATGAGGTGAGCTGAACCGGAGTCTGAGTCGTTGCCCTTTTATGGTATTCCGACGGGAGTTTCCGCACTTTAGTTTCCGTCCATGTCAGATTACCCTGTGTTCTGGCACTGCAAATTACCTGTTGCATACAGTTATCCAGTAGACATGTCCACGCTATCTTGTGTTGACGCCAGGTTCCGTCGTGTTATAATGACATGTACATGCTCCTCGACTTCACGAACAGTTGAACCACTGCGCCTTAGCGTCCCAAAAAAGAAGAAAGATGAGAAAAGAAAAGAAAAGAAAAGAAAAAAGATCGCCACTGTTCACGTGAACGTTTCTCATCAATTTAACAAGCCGCCTCTGCGTCTACCTACATACTTTTCACTGGCTTAAGATTGTCTTTTCATTGGAGTTACTAAAGTTCTCACTGAGAAGCGAATCCCTAAGGCAGAAGCTGGTGTGGTCTTATTGTCTGGTGTCTAAAAAGAAGTCCCCTGAATTGGAGGCACAGCTGTGATTTGGTGCGTTCTCTTTCGAGCTAAACTGTAAACATAAAAGCTCCCAAACGTCATTTTGTCAATGGTAATAAGCTTGTATGTGTACTTAACTAGCCCCTCCTTTTTACCAGTTTCGACGTCAGTACGATACTTTTAAAACGCTCAAAACTTAAATTCCTCTGAGTTAGGTGTGGTCTTGCTACTTACCTGTAAAGAAAGCACGTTTCAAAGAAGTCATTCGGATCAAATAAATGCTAAGGTCATCGACACGACACACTCACCCAAAACTAGCTGTCACAGCGTCACCTTGCGGCAATGTTAGAAAGTCTAACGAACTTGCACATATTAGGTGTTTTGAAAACACTTGATTCCTCCATACCAGACTAAACTGTTATAACAATATTAACATAAATTGATCGATCCCGAATGTCCATCACAATTAAAAGTTCAACCAATGAGTGAAGGCAATTTGCGGTTCAACCAACGAGAGAGTGGCTGCAGGCCATATTTGTATCTTTATGTTTTGACGTAGGTGGGCGGGGCTTCAGGATCGGTCTTTTGTACATGTTGTACGTTGTACATGATTTTTTCATCGGTATGGCTTCCGATGTGAAGGGAGTATTGACGTTACTGATATCTGTGCTGGCGTGTGGATAGGATATTTCAAACAGTCGTCGATAGATGGTGATGGTTTGTTTGCACGTAGACACCCGGAAGGACGGATAGAATGTTGGGCGGCTTCCGTCGTTGTACGTGCAAGATGTGATGCCTTTATTATACGTACAGTACGTCTAACAGATCTTTGTGAGGAATGTATCCGGTACTGTCTTTATGACGTGACAAGCTAAAAGACAAGAGATATTTTTCTGGGGCTGATGTTCGATGATTGGCCTATCTAGATCTTTCGACCAGTCACTCTGGTCTTCTTAAAAAGACCGACCCATTTGTGCGTGTTGGAAACAAAGGTTTTAACTTTAAACATGTAACTACCAACACAAGAGATTGTTCTGACCTAGAGTTTTTGACCAGTCACTCTGTTCTTCTTCAATAGAACAAAATTTTTAATTTTAAACATGTAAGTACTCGTACCAACGCAGATGAACTACCATGGTAGTGTACGGCCTCCTGTTCTTTTTTGGTCCCTGGTCAACTTTGAAATGGGATTTCTTGATTGAATCAACACCAGACGACTAACAAGGCGTTGCAATATGGTGTTACACTCAAGTCATACACTTATCTTATAATGCCACACCCAACATAACAAACAGCATTGGAGTGATATGTATGGTTTACTTTAATTTCAAAACATTTCTTGTTATACGTCAGTGAAGGTTAGACATCCAGGTAATAAGATACGTCAAAACAGTTACTCAAGCAACTGGACATGAGTTTGGAAACGGTCAGGCGTTTCAGGTAGCATCCACTACCTTTCGTCAGTGTCACTAGAGACTGCAGGAGAATAGCAGGTTTATAAGCACGGACTGTTGATTGATATGCGACTTTGTAACAATTATGCGAATTTGTGAAGACAAATTTGAGACGTTTTCTTGTTTTCCGTCCCCAGGTGCTAGGGAACGTGTACAACCGTGTGGGGCAGACGTACTACGGCTTCTACCAGCCGCCCCTCAGACAGGACCGCCGGCCGGGCAAGCCTCGCACCCAGCACAACGCCGAACTGTGCCAGGCCTGCAAGGACGGCGAGTGCACCAATGCACACTAGAGCGGCGGCGCCCCGGAGGCGCCTGCCACCCCAGGCTATCCGTACGGTGTAGCCACACGTTTTTATACACAAAGTGATCATTCATAGCCTCGTACCCACCCTAGTCTAGCTCCGCCTCGCTCCTTTGATCGCTGTCCTGCCGAATCTGAGATTCTGCTTGTAGGCTATCCTTGCGGCGAACCGGAGTTAGGACAAGTGTGGATACGAGGCTAGACCAATCACGAGGGCAGATGAAATTTAAAATGATGGACTATAATATCATTGGTTGATTCCAATGCCAAACCGACCAATAGAATTACAGATTAGAAAACTACTCCGGCGTCACTGTTCCTTATACTATAGATGTTTGAGCTGGGCTCTCTTTGCTTCTAGTCTCTTGACGAGTTCTGTGATCTCGATTCAGCTGAAGTTTAGTCATGGCAAAGGTTTAATAGGGATGTGGAGCAGACATGGTTGAAACACAATCCTCCTGGAGTGATGTCAGAGGGACTTGAATACCCCGTCGACTTTCCGTAAGTACTTCCACTTACCCCAAATCAATTCGACGCAATCCCACCACTTCATTTAAATAATCTATATTTGAACAACTCATTTCCGAGCTCGAGGGCTAATTGCAAAGGAATAATACACAGGCAGTATTACAACCTATCAACTGAAGGTACAAAGCGATGAGCCGTCATTCTATTTGTTGTCAGCTGTTGGCTATCATTTCATTGGTTGTCTGCTCTTGGCTAGCATGTCATTGGTTGCAGAAAATTGGCTGTCACCTGATTGGATATCAATTTACCATCTTTAGCTATTGGCTGTCATTCAGGCTTACATATGAGGAATCAACGGCTATCCTGTGACTTTAGCATTCACGAAAACAAACATCTAGACGTCTCATCACCAATATTCAGCGTAGTGTGATTCTTGTTGGTCGGTAAGGCACTGTGTTTGTGTGTGTAAATATATCTACTGAAGTGAGGGAGGGTTATCATCAGAACACTCCATCTGTCCTCATCTAAAGCCGCTCGTGCCACAGACACCACCCCACCGTGTTCCGTAGTCTCACAACATTCAACTTTTACTTTTATTGAACTTGTAGTAATTTCACTTAGATTATTGTTAAGTTGTGTGCCTAAAACTTAAAGAATGTCCATTTGTTGTCCGTCTATTTGTTTGAATGAAACCACTTTGACCTTCTGCTTTGCAATTATATGATGTCATCAGGTCATAAAAGTTGACGTAGCGCATGAGTTAAAATGAAAGTACGCACTTCAGAAGGTGAAAGTGGTTGGGTCCAAACGACTGAACTCAGAGAAGAGTTATGACATCTTGAATCTAAAGCCCATGTCACACATAGCCGGATATGGCCTCCCGAACACAAGCCGACCTTCCCGCAACCATGGTTAGGAGTAGGTCCGTGGTTGGCTGGTGTTCGGCGAGGTCGGCAACTGTTCGTTTTTAAAATGTTTAATACATTCGGGTGTGAACCGGAAGTTCGGCCATAGTTAGCTGGTGGTTGAGAGGTCAGCGGTGCTCGGGGCGTGTTAGGGGATAAAATTTGACTCAAATTTAACTCACATTCGGCTCGATTCATATGAAAATGTAGCTGTGGATTAAATCAGGCCAGCTCCTGAATTTCAAACTGTCAACCTTGGTTGGTAGTTGGGCCTAAGTCCTTAATGTGTGACAGGGGCTTAAGAAAAATGGTTGACAACGGCAAACGTTGGTCAACGACACTAAAAAAAGCTTCTCAATTGGTATTGAAATGCGTTTTTGTCCAAGTTTGCGAGTTTTAGAGCTGGCACACACTTTGTAATGTAGGGTGATTTGAGCATTGGGGCCAAGGGCATATTACTAGTTCTAACACTCTAAAGGCAATGCTAATGGTATAAGCTTGTGTTGTACAGGGTGAAAGCCGAGGGCGAAGGGAAATGTCCATCGGTCTGCTTTTGTCATTTCAAATGACATTTACATGTAGTCTGTAGTACTTACAGTAATCTGCAATTTTTACGTACAACCAAGAGGTGTTGTTCTAAGCATGCATATGTTGATATTATGAATTATTTGATTTGTAACTTTGTTTGTTTGTTTGTTCTTGTTTGTTGTACTCCTACAAAATGTGTCATGTTGACATTTATTGCAACTGAGGTGAAAAGCTGTTGTGGCACCAGATAGGGTAAGACGTGCAAACGCTGACAGTGAAAAACATTCAGAAATCGTCCCTTTTTCGTAACTTTTAACCACATCTGTAATCGAAACCTTCTTTTCACTACGAAAGCTTCCCTCCAATTTGCCCCTGTCATTCTGTATAAGGTCCCGGAGAACTGAAATGAGTATTGCTGACTTGAAATTCGCTGAGAGGCGTTTTCCACCCATTCATTTTGACCGTTGCCAACTCATAAAAAAGATGGGGGAAGTGGTTTAGAATTCCAACAGCATCTCCTTGTTCTCCTACTAGTTTTGTGCCAACAACATTATTCTGTTACTATGCAGCAAGGTTTCCTTTGAGAAAAGAAAAGATATAGAGACTGGGACCACAACCGTGACTACAGAGTTAGGAGAAGGCATGTCACTGGAAACACGAAAGAACTCCAACCAGAGACTTTATTCAGCATACAGTATTGTATGTCATCACAATGTTGCCAAAACACATCAAGGCCAAACTAAAAATGATGCTGATTTATTTTTCTACTGCAATGTACCATAAGTAGTAAGATGTTACCAGTACCGAAGATAACATTTCTTCATTTTGTGAATTGAAGGCAGGCAGAATAGGACAGGCTATATGACAACTACAGAGAATGATGTGGATGGAATTTATCCCGATTTTTTTTCACTTAAGTTATTGGCGAGACTTGTGTTCAAGTGAGGTATGTATATAGTTCACTTCAGAGAAAAAATTGTCCAAAGGAATACTTGTAACAGGGACGAGGATACACTAGCGTTTTAGAATGGCACTAGGGGCGAGACTATTTGTGACGTCATCTGTTGCGCATGCGCGAACAGTTTCGTGTATTTTGTATCGCCTATCTAAGGTATTTCTGAAAAAAGACATAGTCCCTTCTTTTATACCTGCACTTCTTTGGTCACTTAATGAGAAATATTGAACTATCAGATCATTTTTCATAAATGTTTTAGTAAGAACCAAGCACGGTTATTTTATCTATCCCACTGTGTGAAAATTATGTATCTAAACTTCTGTAACACGGTATGAACAATTCCTCAAAACCATGACGTCACAAATAGTCTCGTTCCCAGGCCCATCTTGTCTGTACATAGAGGTGGATTTACCACAGGAAAAGAAGTAAAAGAACACGGTATTCCACCTAAGATGTAACTTATTCCGTTCTTGTACATTTATGTCCAAGACAGGAGAAACTGACTCTAAAGACCTTAGACAACGAGAGGGTTGGAAATTTAATCGTGATCTTAAATTGTAGATGCTAGAAACGATATAGAGAAGGGACGGCTCCATGGATTGGGTTAGTTACTGAGGTTTTTATACGAAAGACAACAGAGAGATTTCTTACTTTTTCACTGGAAGAGGAGGAAGAATCCACAGAGAATGTCATTTTGATACGGAAAGTATAAACTTAAGTAGCCACCACAATATGCCTTAAAACCTTGAACTTGATTATAATGAAAATGGCGTAATATCCGGGGATGACGTCATTTCCGCCTGGGACTACAGCAGTTGTGAATCGAATAGTTGTGATAGGGCACTGTGTGATAATTGTGAACTTTGGTGCTGATATAGCTGCTTAGTGTCATCGTCTATATATGTGGTTATAAGACTGTACTTGTGGACCAAATGCTCGTGGCTTTTTTCCTGTCGTAAAGAAAAAAAATTGAACTGTGCAAAAACTTTGGCAAGTGCCCATGTTAACGCAGCTGACGTCGCAATGCATTAGCGCAGTCTGAAATGTACATGTTGTAATCATGTAATAGTGAGGTTGAAAGTTGCTGCTCGTTTGTAGTCGTCCTATAAAAAAAGTCGATGTCGGAGAAATCTTGCTGCACCAACAAGCAATACAAACCTCGTGCTACGTCATCTGTGTGCATGGACTCGATTGGATGTTGCCATGGTAACTGCCAAAATGTCGTTTACTATACCTTGTATTGTTGGCGCATGCGCAGAGACCAAGAGTAGCGTTGCCAATATCTGTGTACTGCAAGCGACGTCACCAATATTTCTTGAAGTATATTGTAAGGTATTTACTTGTGATCTTGTTGCATATGCCTGTAACGTAATGCTGCATTCCAATAATTGTCTAACAACATTTGTATTTGCACCTCAATGGCATTAGTAAAGTATGCTTTTGCTGTCAAAACGTGTTCGGTTGTTCTTTTTTGTGTGTCAAACATAGGTGCAGGAACAAGTCAGGATAGGAGGTACACAATGCAGGCATATGTGTGCCAGACCTCAGAATACAAACACTACAGAAACCCTGTAAGCACCTACGTGCAAGACGCTGAACTTCTAGCAGAATTCCTGAAGTAATGTGTTCTCAGAGCTTTGACCTTGAATCGTGAAGGTTACGCAGGGACACAACGTGGGAGGACGTGAAATTTGATGCCAGCTGAGATCCCCGGATGTTTATCACTTAATGCCCTCCCCCTGACATGACGTAAGAGTGAATTCGGCGATGCGCATCGAATGTAGCTCTCCATGAAAGGTCAATACTTCATAAAGTACTTTGAAAATGTCACTTGCATAATTCCTTCAATTCCTTCAAATGTTGTTAACCGGAAGACAGGCAAATAGGGCCGTGTCTATACGGAACCACCCAAGACGCGATTCGGGTAACTCACATTCCTCACATCTGGTCCACGTGCCACACACACCTGTGAAACCGTGTCCGAACATAATGCTCTTGCGCTACATTTATTGCTGTTTGATGATAACACGCAAGGCGGCGTGTTATTAATGTCAGATGTCAACGACATGATTGCCGATGCCCCCCTCCCAGCCTATCTCGGCCGAATGCCGACGTGGTCCCGCCAGAGGCGGTGAAGCTCGCACTAGAACGGACACATTATTTGACCATTACTGCTCTGTAAGTTGCTGCCACGTAAAAGTTGGTATTGCATATAAAAAAAGAAATATCACTCCGTAATCCATGACCAGGCGAAGTCACATTGAAATCACATTGCGTTCAGACGCAAATCGCGATGCGGGGAAACCGATTCGAAACCACCTCTAGAAGTGGCTCCAGACGAAGGCGCTTTCAATGTGATTTCGGACCGTTCAGACGGAGCCACTTGAAACCGGCTTCGGGGTAAACCACATGTGAACCGCCTTGGGTGGTTCCGTATAGACAGGGTCTAGAACATAGAAATCCACCATATGCCTTAATGGAAATATTTTTTCTAAATACACATATTCAACATAACTTTGATCACTTTGATCCTGAAAATCCGAAGGAATGCTGCCCATTGTTATGTAAATGGTATGGAAAGTTTTCAGGCGACTCTGCCCTGTTTAGACCAACCCCTCACGCCGTGAACAGTAGAATCATACAGGACGTCCTCTGCGAGCTAGCAGTATGTTCTCCGGTCGCACAAACGTTGTGAAGACCGGCACACTAGTTGTGTGATCTCTGACCAAGTGCCGCCCTTCATATCGAGAAAACAACGCCTCACCTTGGAGTTGGACGCCTATGTTACGGAAACGGTATTTGAAAGTTTTTTTGTTAAAGCTTGGAAACTACAAAAGCCAGGGTATTCAGAAGGATATTCTGATGTCAAAAACGTCGGTCGACTATCCATTACACTCAGTACCACCACACAAGAGAGCAGGTTGGACAATTATCTGTAGCACAAGGTTGGTAGAAACATATTGATCTTTATGATGTTATTTGTCTTCTGTGGATCCCGGAAGACTGCGTCAATTGTACTGCTGTGTGTTACAGCGATCTTGATTATTTATGCCTATACTTACATCCTTCCTTTGCCTCCCTCCCTC